TATGACTCCCGCCATCACTGTCAACAAAGTTGCAGCTGCCTTTTCGACCGCCCACCAGAGTATCAGGCTAAGGCTCAGTTTTCTAATAGGATGCAATTCGATAGCACCTGTGGCTACCCGGGTGAGGGGCCCAATGACACCTGGTCCCTCTTCTCACACAATACTGGTTCACTCAGGACAACCATGCAATGGCAATCCTCTCAGGATACCGTCCTTTGCGTTCAAGAGCCACGTATCGGGCGTAATAATCACAAGAGATGCTTTGTTTAGAGTGCAAGCCACAGGTCGCCATTTGTTCTCCTCCAAACTTTTGCCTGGTTTGATCACCAATCATGGTGTGTCTCGCACGCCACATGGGGGTGCAGCCATTTTGGCACCAAGAGACACATCGATTGCATTCTCCCCTGAACAGGACATCACTGGACAGTATCTAGATCTGTATAATTCCACTCGTGTCACGGCCATCTGGCACCAAGTGACCCCCCATGTTCGTGCCCTCATTTGGTCCTTCTACGGTCGCACGGGCGCACCATCGGAGCAAGATCCCCATTCATGGAATAATACCACGCTTGAGGCTATCTTTGATATCTCCGCCCAGTTTGGGGACATTCCGGTCATCATCGCTGGGGATTTCCAGGCGGAACCATTATCATATGCTTCGGTCACACAAGCCATTCATTTTGCAAAATGGGAGGACCCATTTGTCTCCTTTGATGCTGAGGGCCTCCCACAGAGGATTCTGACCTTCTCGTCCGATCGTTCTTTCAGTGGTCAGGAGGGTTGTTCCAGTATTGACACGATCTTGATTAATCATGTCACCTGCTCTGCTCTTCTTCGAGCCGAAACGATTGAGACTTGTGAAACACAGCACCGACCTCTGAGAATTGTTTGCCATTGGCAGAAAATGTTCATGTCTGGCTTCGTGCATCACAAAACCGCCCCATTCGTTTTTGACACCACGACCTCAACTGTCGACTCTACGTTGTTCACGAATGAGCATGCTGAATCTTTGTGGACAAATCAATTCTCGCAGGCCTTCGTGGAGAGCGATGACCCTGAAGATCGCTGGGCTATCGCCAATGACTTTTGTGTCTTGTTCATGTTACAGAATGGGGGCAGATGGGGACAAGGCATCAAGGAAAGAGGCAAACCACCCAAATTCCGTAGCAAGAGAGTTTGTCCTGGCCAGTCCATGTTTGGAGGCGCATCGAAATCCCGTATGGCCACCCTCTGCAAAGCTTTCCGTGTTTTGCAGGAACTTTTTCTTCGCCTGTCTCGACACCAGGGCTCGTTCGCCGACACGCAAGTCTCATATAATACTTGCTGCAATGCCCATAAACTGTTGACTCGCTTGAAATCGCCATTTGTTTGGCCGAGAGGATCGATCCCATCGGTACTTCAAGTGTGGTCCAATCTCAACTGGGTGGGTGATTGTGCCCGCACTCACGATGTTAAAACCAAGCTTGACCGCATTCAGCGATGGAGAACTAAAATCAAGGATGATGTCAACAAGGGCAACTCCTTTGTTTTTCGCCATCTTAGGAATCGAGCATGTGATGAACCAGCGAACTTGCTGCAGGACGCACAGGGAAACATCATCGTTGACCCTACTCAAGCGATTGCCACGTTTAACAGTGCCTGGGACGAGGTGTTTGCGTGTAACATCGATGCTGAACACCCACTTAAGATGTTGGACGTAATCTGGCCTTACATCAAAGATCACACAATGCAGTTCGAATGTCCTCCCATTGATGCTCATGAACTTTGGTTGACCATCCAAGCCCGAAAACCACAAGCAGCCCCAGGATTCGATGGCTGGCGGACACAGGAGCTGCAAAAGCTGCCTGAGGCTTGTTTCAAGCCCTTCGCACAGGTCTTTGAGCAGCTTGAGCTCTCGGATGAACCACTTCCAACCACGCTCACTTGCGCCCGACAGATGATTTTAAATAAGAATGGCTCTGCTCATCCCATGCAGAAGCGTTTAATCACTGTGTTGCCAATTTTATATTTGGCGTATTCGGGAGCAAGGTTCCGTCAACTTTGTGGCTGGCAAATCCACACGATGCCGAAGCAATTAGTTGGGGGTGTCAAAGGGCGTAATATGTCCTCCATCCAAACCCACTTGAAACTCGACATCGATGTTGCTGAATCCCAGGGTCAAGAGCTCCTAGGACTCAAGCTCGACAAAGCCAAGTGTTTCGATAGAATCATCCCCTCCTTTGCTGCATGCCTGATGTTAGCTTTCGGGATTGATCGCAAGTTGGTCGCCATTTTCACTAAGCTTTATGATGGATTGCATAGGCATCTTTCATTCAAGTGTTGGTGTTCGCCTGTTGCCACCCATGCTGCCAACGGAATAGCACAAGGCGACAGCCTTTCTTTAGTAGCAATCAATGTGTACTCCAAGGTCTGGGTCATTTTCATGGACTTGTTACCGGAAGTTGTTGCCATGGCTTACATTGATGACGCCTATCTATGGGCTCACCTTGAATACGCTAGTGTTTTGGCCACGGCAGTTGAAATGACTCGTTTTTGGGATCAACTCTCGGGGCAACTGCTGAACGATGCCAAATGCGTGGTTTGGGGAACGTCCACCCGTGCCAGAAAGACCGGCAAATCTTTGTGGCCTGACATGTCCCTGCAGTTGAGATTGAAGTACTTGGTGCTAACATTTCCACGTCCAAAAGACTGGCTTTCCACTTCCCTGACTCCAAAACCCAAGCCATTGTGAAAGAAATCAAACACATCAAGGCTCTTCCTCTCTCGGTGCAAATGAAATCCTTTTTCATTGGGGTCAAGGTCATTCCCAGGTTTTGTTTTGCGGCTTCCCTCAACCAGATCCCCAAAGAGATTGCCAAGAAGATCCAATCTGAGATTGTTCAAGCTATATGGGGTCATCGGCCCCACTGGAGAGCGAGGGCTCTTGTCATGGCCTTTCTTGCGAAACCTCACCAGAATGATCCGCAATGTGCCAGAGCATATCATTCGATCCTGGAGTTTGTCCGGTTCCTTCGAATGCCTGGTAATGGATTGGACAAAGTCCGCTGGTGTGCCAACGCCGTGCCTTCTGACCACAGCTTTGTGAAACGGATTCAACAGGCTTTCCAGTTCTTTGGGTTCCAGTTGTCAGATTCTTTGCAAGTAACTTTTGCTGGGAAACCTTTGATGCCAGTGTGGGACCTTTCTCCGAAGGACATCAAACCAGTCCTTCAGAGGCTTGCCAGGCACAAATGTTATGTAAATGCATCCAATCAGCACAGGAAAGACTTCAAGGCGCCGGCTGGAATTCTCGATTTTGACCTTACTTGTGGTCTTCGTAAGTCTTCTCAGCTCCAGATGAGCCCGGATACCCCGGTTGAAAGCCACTTCCACTCGCAGTTAGTTGGTTGTACCCTAACTCGAGACCGTCTCTTTGCTGCGTCGCTGGACTCATCGGATCGGTGCAGATTTTGTGAGGGAGTTAAGGAGTCTCTTCACCACCTGGTCCATGAATGCCCGGTGTTCTTGGAACGGTTTCCACCACATCCGGTCCATGAATATGGTCCTAATTTTGGCCTGCTTGGAATTGTGGAACATCCTGTAGGTATCATCAAGCACAGGCTGGGATGGTCCAATCCGGATCACATTGAAGCTCAGACCTTTCATCCGGAGGCGCCTCACGTAGAGTGGTGGTCTGATGGTTCAATTTTTTGGTCCGATACATTCTGGCTCACGGCTGGTGGTTTTTCCTTGGTTGACCAACATTACCAAGAAGTTTCAGGTGGCCCCGTGCGCAACCTGAGTTTGTCCTCATACTCCACCGAACTTTGGGCATTTGTGGTGGCCTCCCGCATCTGTACAGGCCCCACGACCGTCTATACGGACTGTCAGACAATAGTGAACCAACTCCGAGAGCTGCAAGTAAACAAAGTCCCCGATCCAGCTTGGCCCCATCTTGCTTGGTGGCATGCCATCCATGATAGACTACAAGCTTTGCGACATCTGCATCCGAACCCACTGCAAGCTGTTTGGGTCCCCTCACACTTGTTTGAATATCTACCTGAAGAGCATATCACGCACTCCATGGCTCACTCCCATGGAACAGAGGTTCGCCACATCATGGGCAATCGGTTTGCGGATAGGTTCGCCAAGGCACATGCTTTGGAGGCAACAAGTATCCATCCTCATGACGAGACTTTGGTCAAGAAATCCATAGTGCAGCGCCAGGATTGGCTCACGAATCTTAACATCCAAGTGGCAATACTGCAGAAGCATGATCAGGATGCCAAAAATGAGGCGAGAATGGAAGCTGAAGCGGATTCCGAGAACGTTTTCTCCCTCTTTCCTCACTGGGAATGGGACCCCAACCCTGGTGAGTTTGCTTGGAGAGCGGAAGAGTCGTTGCTTTCACTTCCATTGCATGAGAAGTGGGCTGAACGTGCTCCGAGCTGGCGAGTGTTGGGAGAATTTTTTGATCGACTTCAGTGGAAAGTTCATCATGATGCAGTTACTTCCTATGTTGAGCTTGCGGTGTTATTCTATTTGAAGGGTTTTCGTTTGCCTGGACATGATCCTGATCAACATACTTTTCGTGACTTGACAGGTGAAATACGGCAATTTGTTGCACACGCGAGATCCCTCTCGGATAAAGTTCTTCCAGGTGTTCACAACAGGCACCGCAACAAGAGCATCGGTAAGTCGCTACCAAATGGCACCATCGATGGTGCCGAGGTTCTTTTCTGCAGGGAAGAGAAGGTCCGCTTTGCTCGGATTTTGTCTGGTGTGTCGACAGCGAAGCTAGCTGCTTGGGAGTTCACGTTTGGCAGTGCGGAGTCGTAATTAGTTTCCTCATGTGGACCTCTCACATGTGTTTGGGTGCGTGGCAGAATGCCATGTAAACCAGTCGTGACCGCATCGACGCGTCGGGAAGAACAGAATAGACTTCCAGGGACGGTCAACCTACAAAGGCTTCGGGCTCCGAGCCGACGCTTCGTTTCTGACGGCGTTTCGGTCCGAGCATCCGAGTTCTTGACACTCTGTCGCGAGAGTTCCTCCCCGATCACCGGAGAACCGCACCTGGTGAATCCGTCGATCGCGCGGTGGTGAATCCGCCCGGTGGTGAAAACGAAGAGTAGAAGCAGTAGAAGCTCAAAAGACATTAATCCATATTGAATCCTCTCCAACAATGGTTGCTTAGTTGCTTGCCTTTCCGCCTAGATTTGTTGTGTTCGTGCCGACGTGCGTTTGTGTTAAAGGGGCCCTCTCCTAGCGTTGAACCCGTTGCAAATTTCTGCTCTAAAGTTCGGTTCGAAAATGGTCGTACCACCTCCGCACCAGACCACACGACCAATTCGCGACCACGCCCAAGCAGAGGGAATGCTTGGCGCTCCAAACAAGAACACGCCCACGTGCTCGCCCTGGTGCTTCTCACGGTTCCTGAAGACGCTTGACGTCGTCGTCGTCGCCACGAGACGTCCGGTCCGCGGCGCGTTCGGACCGTGCTCTTCGGAGGAGAGGCGTCTCGGAGGTGTTCGGACCAGATGATGTGGGGTTTTTGGTGCAGATGATGGTGAACTTGGTGTTCTTGAAAACTCTATGAGTCCACGGTACTTTGATCATACTCAGTCCCGGGATGGAGTAGTAGGACCTAGTAGGATGGTCCTCTTTGGGAGGCTTTAAGATCATTGGGCATTTTGTAGACCATGGTAGACCCCTTCTTTTGCACTTTGGCCCTATCGACTTGCCAGCAATGAGACCCATTGCTCCATTTGCTCCATTGGGTTTCAATTGGCACGTGGTTCACGTCCATGCATATATATATATATATGTGTGTGTGTGTGTAACCTCGTATTATGTTTTTTTCGTTTTCATGTTCTTTGTCTTTGTGTTCAATAAAACTGAGTTGTCTTCTTTGGGGATCACTCTCCTCTGTCACCCTCCTGGTTTTCCCACGAGTGGGCGACCGGCCAAGATGCTGCTTGAAGATGCGTCCCCAGTTGGGTCGACCGAAGAATTGGCCGCTGGCACAAGGCAGCTTTTTCACCTCACGAAAACGAAAAATCCCTCAACTCATTGATCCCACGGTCTGTGAAACCCAGTGAAACCCATACCGCCGAGAGATGCCGAGTTCAACCTCGAGTAGAAGGAATCCAGGATTCCGGCGGATGCCCACGGACGAAACCTCCATGCCTGAGCCAGCTCGATCTCCCCAGTAATGAAAAGCGTGATGTCCACGATGCCTGAGAGGCAGACTGGCCGATCGAGCCCACACCGTCCACGGAGTAAGGAACCGGACCCTATCGGTGTAGCGAACTGAAAGCAAAACCGATTTCTCGGACCCGCTCGCGAGACGCCCGCGCGAAGCTCGGTCCGGACGGGCGCGCCTGCTGCTGGACCTTCAGCGGCATCTGAGAGGAGATCGCAGAACCAGTCAAACTCTTCCTGCATCGAAAGCATCGCTGGAAGGACGATCTACCAAAAACATTGCTATGCGTCACAGGGAGCCAAAAGGATGGCATGATCAAGACCAAGCCATCCATGTTCATACTCGCCATAGAATCAGGATGGAAATGTACTGGAGGGACTGCTCATCTGACTTAAAAGAGACGAAGCGACAGAAAGTTGGAGAATTTAAGACCTACGTTGGCAATATTGCTGTTGGGTTCGCTCTACACATAAAACCTCCTGCCTGACCGCGGCAAATCCAGTAGAAGTAGATCCTCAACAAACGGCCACAGGTTCAACAGGTTCAATCTTGTCAACAGTCTTGACCTTGCCAACAAAACAGGAATGACCTGTTCAACTAAACTGCACACATGTGAAAGCTGTTCATTCACCGCTTATATCTCACCAGCAACAACGTGGCGTCGTCCAATCATCATCAACAACCGACCGACACTGATCAGGTCCCATGCCGACCATGGCGCTTCTTGGGCACCACCACGAGTTCTTCCACCAGTCGCTGCAGCCCAGCTCTTGCATCCTCTTGCTCGCCTCACCGGGCGACACCGGACCGCCTGACCGCCGGACCGTGGCGCCGACACGTGGCGTGGTGTGGAAGAGGGACATCGACGGACGCAGCTGGTTAGTGGGAGATGAGTCTTGCAAGGTGCCATGCTGCAGTGTCTGGTGAGCACTTGACAGGGTCACAAGAGGCTGATGAAGCTGTCATCCAGCTCAGTCCTAACGTTTGGTGCATGAGTGTTGATAGATCCATCAACAGCACAAGCGCTCATTCTCTCATTTGTTCATGCTTGTTCCCACTTTGCAACGACCCACCTCCAATGGCATTACGCCAGGCAGATGGCCTGGCATGCAATCTCTACAGAGTTACAACAAGGTGCGGTTACAGAAGGTGTTGTTACCACAAGGTATTCTTGCGACAAGGTGTTGTTGTCACAAGGTGTTGCCCAATTTCACAACTCGCAGGATTGTGTTTTTGGTGAATCATGTGTGTATGTGTATGCTAATATATATATATATATACATATTGGATTTTGAAGCATCCATATCCATCAAACGTACGTTCTTTTTGGGGGCCGCAATAACCTCTGACCTGGACCAACTAAATCCCGGAAGACCTTCAGCTTGGCCTGGTCGCAGTGCTCATGATTGTTTCACGCTGCTTGGCACGCAGCTGCACTGACTTCAAGATGGAGGCAAAAGGTGTCACCTCGGGAACCGCAGAAAACTCAGGATCAAGGTGCAAAGCAACAAGGATTCTCAGCAGGATTAGTTTTGCTGGATATTCTCAATTGGATGTGTTCCTGGATTATTGTGTTGTGTGTGGGACTCACCATGTTGATGTCTTTGCCATCGATCCAGTAGGACTTCAGTAGAATCCTCTAATTGGCAAGGATGCCATTTCACGGCCCCCAAATCAGCTTCCAGGCAAGTTTGAAGCATCAAAGGCCCACTGGCAGATCCACCCTCCAACCAACGTCAGGCAGGCAACGCCAATACCAGCTCCGACCACCATCAGCGTATCGAAGCCCCAAACTTTCCTCAGCGTTGGCCCAAAGGCCCCCAATGGCCCCCAATGGTTGCAAACCAATGAGAAACGCCATGAAGAAAAGAATTGTCAGTTCTCTATCTGTCCAACTATTGTCAGTTCTCCCAGTGTGTTGGTTGCCTCGAAAGTCATCTTGTCAAAAAGACGTGTGACCTTCAAGACACTGAGGAAGACATTCAAAGAACTGCCAAACCCAACAAGGCACTGAGCAGGCGCACCAAAGGGGCCTGTGACCTGTAAGACAACAGCCTCGGTCGGACCGGTCACGCAATCGAAAAAAGACTTGCCTGCCTAAGCAAGCAGTGTCCTTCACTGTTTCACACCTTGTTTGGCTGTTATCCTATATCCTACGTCCTATCGAGAATCGAATCTTTCAGCTGAGGCAGAGCTAACTGGCAGAGCCACGGCAAGCTTTGCTGTCTTTACTGTGAAGTTTCTCGGCAAAACTGAACATCAAGGCCTTCAAGTGAGAGCCGAGCCTTCAATTGTGTCAGAAGAAAGACAACTCGACCTGGCCTCTGGAGGCAGCATACCAGGCTGAACTCGACCTGAGTGCAAAAACATCTCACACGTGCCAACTGAAAACTGCGTATGTAGTTGCACAACTCAAACGGAGTCTATAAACCTCACGATTCAGTGCTTCAGTCGCTATGCCATGGAAGCTGGGACCTGGAGAAAGGGGCCAGAGAAAAAGCGATTTTGAGCATCGTTTTCGATGCACGTGGACAAGCTCCGAGAAGGACAAGGAAAAAGAAGAATCCGAAGGGAAGCGACCAGCAAAAACTGCTTTGGTGTGAATCCAAAGCCTGAAGAAGAACCGAATGAACTGAATGAACCATGGAACAAAGGGCATCGCTACTAGGAGCAAGGACGCTACGAACGTTAGCTTCCATGTACGAACGTTCTTTCTCCAGGCCGCTGATCATGGTCTCTCCAGACTGCATCGGCTCCATCTGCTTGCCTCGTGTCGAGTGATGTGAACCCGTGTCGAGTGATGGGCCAACCAGGTGAAAGGGCACCCGACAAGGCCCGTGTCGGTTTCAGCACGTTTCACTCTGAGATGAGGTTTGGAACCTCCCCCTGGATTCCCCTGGTGTATGAGTCTCTTCAACTTGCAGTTTGTTCAAGGCTTGCAGTTTCAGGTATCAAGTTTCACCCACTGACCAAATTGCAGATCATGAACCAAGCATTGCACAAACCAATTTCATCCAATTTCACTGTTGAGCCTCTGGTCACTGGTCGCTTTCTGTATCGCAACATCCAGACTCTGGCCGTGCCTGAGACGTTTCTCCCCAACAGTCGTGGGCCTTGACTCTCATCCAGTGCCTGACATGCTACAAAGTGGCAAAGGAGTTCGTATGTCGAAGCTTGGCGATATGAAAAAGAAGCATCCACCTGTAAATGCTTTCTAGGCACTGCTTCTGTGTCACCTTTAGCAGCACCAGCAGCAGCAGCAACCTTGGGCATGTTGTAGATGACTGGGCCTTGAACGGGGTCAAGCTCTTCACTGCCAATTCAAACCAATTCGATATATATATATATATCATGTTTGGCGGGGGTTCCTCGAGTCGCTGCCTCGATGTCAACCACCCCCGGTCTCAATGCTACTTCGAGCACATCCAGGCTGTGCCAAGGGGCTGTTGGCCACTGTGCATTTCCGGTACTCGATTAGCAAAGGGGCCTCACACAAAACAAAACAAGTGCTCTCAGATGTGAGACGCAAGGTCACGTCTGGCCGCCATTTGCCGCGACAAATGTCTCTCCTGTGTCAAACATTATGCCAAGTCAAAATCATCCAATGATCCACAAGTATCCACGAGTGACTTGAGGGACTTTGGTGTTGGTGCCACTCTTTGAACCCAACCCTACCAGCTTTTTTAACGGGCGATTTGCTCGGGCCCCTCCCCCTCGCTCGGAGCCTTGGGAGCCTTGCTCTCCGAGGGGTCCACGCCCGCCGCCTGCGCCGGAGCTTCCTGGGTGAGGCGCTTCCGCAAGGCGGAGCACCTGACTGCCACGCTTCGCTCGCCACGCGTCGGTCGTTGGGTGTCTGGTTCGGTGACCCCAACATTCTGACAGCCAAAACAGGCGCTTCCCCAAGACAGTGACGATTCTCAGGGCTGAAGATGATGGGAAAGGCTTGTGGTTGAGTATTGATATGTATTGATAACATCATATAACCATGGTAGACTCGGTAGACCCTTTTGGGCCTTGGTTGGGCTCAATGTTCCCTATACTACAAGTCTTTGAAAGGCCCAAGCATTGAGTTGGCTTCCGGGGATTCCCCTTGCCATGCGCCATGCGGAGGAGCGTTTTCAAATGCCGACTGAGTCGACTGGTGATCTGTTCACTCGTCCAATACTCATGTGTCATCCCATCAGAACACTCCGGGATGGCCGTCCGTAACACGCCGTAACACACTCTGTGGGGGGTGCCGGCACCTTTTCGACCCATCCAGCATAACGCGGCCAGGTCACCAATCGAGGCTGTTGGGTGAACGAATGTGTACACTGATGCAATTCTCCTGATGTTTCATTCGTCCCAGGATGGGAATCTCCACATTTGGACCAACACTTGCGGTGACCAAATTGAAGCTTCCTCACACAAAGCCCTGGCACTTGCGGCTCATGAAGCTGTAATGTTTTACTGTAAAACTTCAGCTGTGTCCTCTGGCGCCGAAGTCAATGTGAAGGGATGCCACTCGCCCTTCCAACCCAACAGGATGTACTGCCCAGCCTGCAGAACAGCAGCTCTGGATGCAAGTACAGCAAGTACAAGTATTCCCATGTTTGCTGCCAGTCTGGACACTTGCATTGGACACTGCCGATGTGCGGTTTTGCTTCGGCTCGGCCTGGTAGGCAAATCCCTGAGGCAGCTCGAAGGTGAGTCCAATCACATCTCCTGCTTGGCGGAATGACAAGACCCTGCAAGTTGGTCTCGAAAGACCTTCTGAGACGTCTCACCGCTTCCAAGTGGCTCGGCAAGAGCTTCACGCTGCGAAGGGACAAATAGATGCTTTGGTTGTTGGCCAGGAGCAACCGGTCCACTAGCACGAAAAGCGCTGGAAAGAAGAACCTTGGACACTGGAGAGCCAAGACGCCGTTGAAGAGGCGTTCAGTATCCTTCAGTCACCAGTCTTGAAAGAACTCACTGCGATGGATTGTCCTAAACAAGCTAAGACTTGGCAACTCTTGAACATCCCAAGAATTCCCGGCATACGTTTGCAATAATCTGCAAGTTCTTCTAAATCTCTTGGCTCGCCCAAGTGGTAGTTTTGTTTGGTGCCCAAAATCGACTTTGGGGGCTGAGCGAAGAGTCCAAAGCAGTATTTGGAGTCGCCCCTTTTGAAGCCCTTTAGACAAACACTGCAGCTGGACCCCTGTTGATAATGAACCTTTGCCGGCTATGTTCTTGCTTGATTCTTCTGGCTGAATCGCCCATGTGTTTTGGCCCATTCTAGCAAGGTCAATAACCAAGTCAGAGCTTCACTGCATCACACTTGGGTAGTCAAGCGGCCAAATCCAGAGTCGAGCAGGTGCATGCAGCAAAAGCAGCACATAGATGAGCTTCCATGACATGTGGATCCGCCAAAACCTCTGCGGAAGCGGGGAAACCGATGCCAATCACTGGCTTTCTGTCTTCTGACGCCTATATACCGCCATGACTTCTGCCAAGTCGAATGTTACTTTATCAATTTTCATCCTGCCCACGTGTATCACCTGGGCACTACTATTGGGCTTCCTTTCAATCTTTTCACATCTGATGTCACTCATTTTGCTGAATTCCGAATTCCATGTCACCCTGTCCGATCCGCCGAAGGCGTTTGCGACTCGTGCCGAGCATCAAATTGAACCCGCCAATGCGACGGCTGAAGCAGTTCGTGCGGCGCCGAGAGCAGTTCAGGGCCTTCGCAGACGGAATTTCCAGCGGATCAAGTGGGTCAAGTTCATGAATCTCTCCGTAGTAGTAGTGGTGTAGTTATTATATTGTATTACAATCTGTGTCTTTGTGTTGCAATATGATGTGGTGTAACTTACATGTTTTGCATATACAGTAATTGTCTTGTTGATGTTTTTGTCTGCAAAGCATTCTCTCAGGATCCAACGGTGAGCAGAATGGCCAGCATCATCACGGTCAAAATGATGCCCGTGAATCCAGCGCAACGAATTTGAAGGTTGAACACCTACACGGTACAGCACATGGACGCCCAGAGCAGAGCTAGAAATAGAACGATGTGCTGCCATTTTGGTAGACCTTTCTTTATAAAGCACCACTTGTACGGTATGCACCTGCTCCGAAGTCCAAACCGTCGGCCCTCCCCCGGTGTTCACCAAAAAGAGCGCCGCATCGCGATGGTTTGTCATGAAGGTCCTGGGCCTGCTGTAGGAAGGTCATCCCACTCATTTTCTCTTCCGCCGACAGTTTCCACAGCTCAAGGGGGTCGGGCTGGATGATGGGAGATTGGCGGATAAGGTACGCATGCACCTTGGTGCAAATCCAAGTACAACTGTTGCATCCTTTCTAACAGCACGGTGCCGCCCTCCAGCAGAGAGGCCACAGGCTAACTTTGGCTACATGTCGCAAGACATCCCACTAGACGCAAAAGACATAGACCAATAAAGACAAGAGATGGGCAGCGGTAGTCGTGTTTGGCCGTGTTTCAACGAAACTGAGATATGCTCCGGCGACATCCTCCAACCAAATCAATCCATGCTGTTCAATCTGCCGGGACCTCTCTCCCTCGCTTCTCGAGCGAAACTCGGTGTCGGACACAGTGTCCTGCGATGTGAATGGCTGCGCCGAGCATGGTGAAGCTGGCGATCACAATGTGGAAATTGATGGGGTCCTAACTGTCCAGCTCGAAAAGCAGTTGTTTTTTTCCTGACGAAACCAAACCCCTCCAAACCCCCAAACGTGGCAGAGCATTGACTTCAGGCCTCTCGGGATTGCTCTTCAGACAAGACTTCAGAGCATTGACAGACGTGTTCTCTCACTTTGAGGCTTTCAGAAAACACCAAGCACCTTCCTGGCCTCCCTGCAAAAGGCAGTGAACTGTTCACCGGACGCCGAACGCACGGTTACTGCTTCGAGACGAACCCAGCGACGTGGGAAGACCCAAGGCTCATCGATCGGCACCCACTCGCGAGAGGAACTCACTCGCCTGGATGAGGAGCTCACCGCTGTGCTCAAAACTCAAAGCACATGACTCCAAGTGTTGGCACTCGTCCAGTAGCTATGTGTGTGTGTGATCTATTTTAAAGGATGAATTCTGGAAGATCTCAATGTTCTGGTGATTCTGCGTCAGAGGCTCTTCTGTACTGCTCACTGTCTCCAATGCGGATTGCTGAGTATATCACAGTATATCAGTGCTCGGCAAAAACAATTGTTGAGAAAGCCGGAAAGTGAATCAGAGAATCTCAAAAGAACGATTGAAGCAGATACAAGAATTCCATTTTGAGAACTACGGTATATATACACAGTTGAGAGTATCTATTCCATATCTCATTCGTACAATGACAATGAGTATCTGTTCCACTGTTGTTTTCGTGTTCTTCAATGATAAAGAACTTGAGAACCCTCGATATCTAATGACTCGGAGAGGGCAACACAGCACCAACAAGCACATCGAAGCACCCGCGATGGGCCTCATAGTGGTTTGCAAACTTTTCAAGGTAGGCAGCACCAACAAGGCAAAGTTCAGATCCATGCTGTAGCCACCGCCCTGCAAAGGAGCTTTAAATGGAATTGCAACCAAATGGACCACCACACATGCTCAGTTAGGTGCATGTTGCCTTTCAGCGTTGGGATCTTTGGATCTTGCCACGGAGCAAACAGTGCGGCCATTTTCAATGCCGTTTACGATGAAACGTCCATGCATGATGCATGCCTAGGTGAGACCGACATTAATGTACAAAACAGGCTTCTGCCACTGTGCACTAATACAAAAGAACTTTGAGGGCATAGTGTTCAAACAAATGTTTACTTGTTGAAATTGCATGAGCCAAAGACTTAGTCTTGGCCATGAGAATAGATTCCCAGGCACGGGCCAAAATTCTCAGTGACTGCTGCTGGACTCATCCCCCTCTTGCTGGCTGGTGGTATGGCCACTGGCGCTGGTGCCATTGCCCGTGCCAGCAGAACTGTGCTTTGAAAACTTCTCCTGCAGAAGGCTGCAAATTAAGGCACTGTATACATGTGGTAATGAAGGGGAATCCGCCCGCACCGAAGGTGCCGAGGCGTTTTATGAGGCTCGCATTATACCGCAAGTACCGCAAGTACTAATAGCTTTAGCTGGGGGGGGAGCCATTTTCGCTCTAGAATCCTGTGTTTTTTCACGTTTTTGGAACCGGTTTAAAGTGCTGGAAGATAAATTCGTGCTAACTTGAAGCGTCTTGTGATGCAAGACATGCAAGTTTCTGCTTTGCATCATCTGCATCATCTGAGCGGTACATAGCTCTAGAATTCACTATCTAACGGACGTGTCTGCGAGATAGGTACTTGAACGTCGTAAACATGGCCGAACGGGACTGGAATACATAGCTTTAGAAGTGATGTTTGGCTACAGAAGCAGAGATAAGCAGAGATCACGTCCAGGATTGGTACCATTTTCGCACGACCAGAGCGTGCATATGATCGAACATAGCCCCAGAAGTCACTATCTCAAGCACGCTTCTTCGAGATAGGGACTTCCACCAAACATGGCCCAACGAGGGAACATGGCCGAACGGGTCTGGAATACATAGCTTTAGAAGTGATGTTTGGCTACAGAAGCAGAGATAAGCAGAGATCACGTCCAGGAAAGGTAACATTTTCGTACGAGCAGAGCGTGCATATGATCGAACATAGCCCCAGAAGTCACTATCTCAAGCACGCTTCTTCGAGATAGGGACTTCCACTAAACATGGCCCAACGAGGGCTCAAAAGGGACTGGAAAAGCCTGCAAAGTCACGATCAAAGTCACTATCCTCGAGATAGGGACTGGAACGTCCGGGTACATGGCTGGTCAGGAGCAGAGATAAGGAAAGATAAGGTGGTCAGGAGCGGAGATAAGGAAAGATAAGGTCCAGGAATGAAAGATAAGGTCCAGGAATGGTAACATTATCTCACGAGCATAGCTCCCATATGGTCGAACATAACCCCAGAAGTCACTATCTCAAGTATGCTTCCCCGAGATAGGTACTCGAACGTCGTAAACATGGTTCAAACGAACGCTCAAAAGGGACTGGAAAGAGTGAAGATATTGTCTAACATAGCCTCAGAAGTCACTATCTCAAACATGGCCCAACGAGGGCTCAAAAGGGACTGGAAAAGCCTGCAAAGGCATGTCTCCTCGAGATAGGGACTTGAACGTCCGGGTACATGGCTGTTAAGGAAAGATAAGGTGGTCAGGAGCAGAGATAAGGAAAGATAAGGACCAGGAACGTGTCTGCGAGATAGGGGTTTGAACGTCGTAAACCGGAATTAAAGGACCGGACAACCCCACATATGAATCTTTACGAATCTTAAGTTTCTAAAGCACAAAGCAGTCAGAGTCTCAAGTGCGCGCAGCCACAACTAGCCAACAACGCATGTCCGCAATATGGGGCATAATGTACTAAAGGTGTACTACCAAGTCGCCAGTTCTCAGCTTCCAGCTCCCCAGCTACTCCGCGTACTAAAGTTGTACTACAAAGTCGCCAGTGCTCATCTTCCAGCTCCCCAGATA